ATACTTGAGCTAATTTCCCAGTCCCCTTATAATTAAGTTGGGGCATTTGACTGAATTTTGGCCAATAGGACATGGAGGGAAGGAACGTATGCCACCTCTAGAAAAGGACCCTAAAAATCTCCCAAGCATGACCTTTCCCCCTTTTTCTCTCCTACAGAGACCCTAGAAGCCACATGTTAAAGATGATGGTGACATACATAAGATAGAAAAAAAAAAAACAAAACCCTGAGTTCTTGAATGATTGCATTAAGAACCAGACACTTTTACTATCAAATCTTGGGTTGGGAGGGTTGTGGATTAAGGGCAACCACCCTTACTCACTCTAACTAACATAGGGAGTGTCTGATTTACTCAATGGTCCCCCAATAAAAAAAAAAACTCAGCTGGTTCTTTGGTATTCAGCCAAGGATCTGCCTTTGACCAGCATGACTTCTCACAGAGCCCCTAGCATCCAACTGTTCAGCAGACAGTAGGGTGTGCCTGAGTGTGAGCTCAGGTATGTTTATGGAATAAATGAAACCATACAAAACCCTTGTGACTGCAGCTGGCTGACACTTAAAGGTTTACTCTACCATCTGAAAAGGCTCATCAGCTGGCCTCTGCCTTCTACCACATACAAGTCCTTCACCCCTAGGACAAGCCCATTTCAACTACACATGGCATCTGTACACTGCCTCCCCCCAAGTAAAGCCCAAAGCTGGGGACCACCCTTTAGAACAGAGGCTGTTGTGCAGAGGAAAGTGGCATTCCCCAACACAGTCATTTCTCTTCTCCTACTGACGCTAATTACAGTTTGCTAAATGTAAACTGGGGAAACATCTCGCCCACCCAGAGTTCCAGCAATGGGCCCGTTGTCTTCACAGTAACCTGGGAGCAGAACGCTGTTCCTCCTTCTAAACCTTTTATCTTTTGCTCTCCCAATGCATTTGGTAAACACAGAGAGGTACACTCTTAGAAAAAGTGAGGTTGAAATTGTCAAGCTACCCAGCCATAGGCCCTTTCTTTTGGTTGCTTGTTCTGAGGCAAAGCTGGAGCAGAAGTGGAGGCATGCAGAAGACACCGCCAGGCTGGTGGGGGGTTTAATTACACATGTGGGCAGCACTCTGGAGGCAGTCTGGGAATGCAATTACACCACTAATTATATTGACACAACAAACTTAAGCTTCCCAGAGGGGCCCCCGCCCATGGGAACACCAAGTTGTCATTTTGCCACACAGTCATTCCTTTTTTCTGTGTTAGTATCACTTGTTGCATCTTCTCCCTCTATTAAAATCCTTCTCTTCCTTTGAGGACATCACTGAGGGCCATCACCTCTGAGCAGCCTTCCCTGGTTTTAACTGGGATTTGCAGCCCTGCTGTCTAACCCCGGACCCCATCTGAACGAATCCTTCTTCCCACTGTCATCACAGGATGATGTGCTGGCCTCTGTGACAACTGTTTACAGTTTCTGGGCCACTGCTGTCAAACCCGGGAAACAAGACTGGTGGGTCTCCAAACTCTTTTCAAGTTTCAGAAGCTTATTTTTTGAGTTTTGGGGAATAATTAAAAACAGCACAGTGGAAGGTTTGTGGGTGTGATACCAGAGGAAGAGGCTGAGCATCACCTCGGCTGCTTCTCGCTTAATGGTCTGGGCAGGACTTATCTGTCAAGGCTATGGGCCTCAGTTTGTCCATCCGTGAAATGGCAGTAGAGCTGATATTACTTCACAAGGCTGCTGAGGTAATGAAACTGGGCTGTGCCCGTGAAAGCAGTTTATAGATAATGAAATACAGTGTTTGTATTAGCTATATTAATGTAAAAGCCTGAGTGAGTGACTCTCTCCCTAATCAGGGAGTGCTACCACCACTGATGGGTTAAACATCTTAAAACATACATCTCCGATTCTGAGACTCACTCCCAATAATCTCCAGTGCTCCCGGTCTGTAGAATAAAGACCTTTTACTGGGAATCCCTAGGAGGTTTAAGGAGAATGGTTGCGACAACACTGGCAATCCTTCCATGGGTACCTACGTTGTGTTAAGCATTTGTGAGGCACATGTCACATAAATAGAAAGTACTGGACAGGCTTACAGTGAAGTCCTGGATTTGCAAATGAATATTTATGTGATCTTGAGAAAATTGCTTCACTTTTTGAATCTTAGTTTCCTTGTCAATAAATCAGCGGTGATAGTGTCTGCTATGAAGGATTATTGTGAAAATTAAAACGTGAAAACCCACTTCAAGCATGCAGACACAATGCATAGAAGGCACTCAACAAAAATTAGTCTCTTTCTCCTACTTCCCTTTCCTTTTCAGCACCAAGAATATAAAATTCCACAGTATAAAACATTCATACAAATAAATAGATGTGTGATAGATGGCTGGCTGGCTTCTAGGGGAGTGATGTCAGAGGAAGATTTTGCCAGAATCTCTCTTCCCATACCACAACGGGGCCCCTGCAGGAGCCTTTCACCCACTGTGCTCATCACCACAATATTTTACAGTGAGCATTTATTTATTTTTTATTAAAAAAAGGATTATTCTCAATGATGCATGTGATAAATATGCCAGCTTTAAACCTTTTAGAAATATTAAAGATTTTACGGCTCAGCATTTGACAGACTTGATTAATCCTTTCCACACAGAAACATTCAGGAAGATAGCTATAGTTGGGTTTTAAAGCCCAAGAACATCCTTTGATAAAGGTAAAGAAAAGGTAAAGAGCTTTTAAAAGGAGAGAGAAATTCTCATGCCACACAGAATAGACAAAGAATTCCAAGATTCAGAAGGCTTCTCAGTATGGTGGAGAGTTGGAAGCTGGTGTGGGGTAAGGGGAAGAGCAGAGCTTTAAAATCTCTCTCCCTTGGAGGAATTTTCAAATGAAAGGCACGCATCCAGCCTGACCACAGGACAGTAGTCTAAGAGTTTTCTTCTCTGCTGGGTTCCCAAATGGGAGATGTGGGAGGGGGTGCGGGCAGTGCAGACCAGCGACAGTGCAGACTTCAGAGAGGAATGAAACGGAATGTGCCGTTGCCCCTTCTTGTAGCCCAGGACCATGCGCCAGCCTCCTGCCTGCTCTTTCAGTCACCAGGGCTGTTTCCTTTGTGGACAACCCCATTCCTCAGTTAGAGTTTCAGCTCCTCTAAGAAACAGTAAACATGTTTCGGCTATTTTTTGCCCCTCCCCTAGCTTTTGTTTATAATAGATGCCTACCAAATGTGTTAATTAGAGTTGTTGTTTAATAAATCCTTGACAAAATGGCCTAAGGATGTAAATGGGGCAAAAACCCCTACTTAAGAATGAAGACTTCTGAGAAACTATGTTTCTTTATGAGTAAAGAACCTCCACATCTAATCACGATCATGGTTATGACCATTTCTATATTACTAGGCATACATTCTCATACAAAACTGCACAGAGGGTAAGAAAGCTTATTCCACACAATTTAAATAACCAGTATATTTGGCAAGTCCTCTTTGGAGTTCCAAAGGAAACAAAGGAAAAATGTATATAAACAAACAATAAATGTAGAAAAACTGTTTTAGTATTTTGTCTTAGTTCATCTTAATGTTTACTTTTATGCATTTCCCTAAGAATTTTCTAAGAATAACACTGAAATATAAAACATCTTAATGAGCGATTAAAAAAAGAATGAAGCTTTAAAAATTACTAACAGATTCTGCCCCCTTCTGATTCCCATTCCACAAAAGAAAATTGAGCTTAGAAACTAAATTATTGAGATGTAAAAGTAACTCCTCATTTGACAAGCAGCCGTTGAGCACTATGACCATCCTAAGTGACTTGGATGTGGTTCTGAGCTCAGCCACAATGCCTGGTAGGGATGTTCTCATGTGAGAGGTGCTATGACTGATGTGTATACGGGGAACCATGCAGGACAAAGGGAGGTACCTCAAACCCAGCATTTTTGTTCACAGAGGGAGGTTAAAGAAGGCTTTGAGAAGGAGTGGCAGACTCCTGAGCTGAACACTGAAGGACAATGGGAAGGGAGCCTAGGGGAAGATGCATGCCTCTGCATAGCACATATACTGTCTGGATCTGTGAATTTCCATCTAAACTCCAAATGGAATGCTCACTCTGCTAATCAGCCTCCCACACAAAACCTCCAAGTGTCAACCCACTCTGCTCTGATATTTTCTTTGACACCTGGGTCACCCTCCGACGCCAACTCCTACTTCATTTTTATGGAGGCATTTCCCAACACAAAACACTGACATATTTGCCACAAGATATTATGGGGGCAAAGGTGTAATTCAATTATGTGACTTAATCAATTCAAATGGCTGATATACAAGGATCTCAGGATGCCATCCAGCTTTCAACTGAAGGCGAATAATTGTTCCATAATTTCTTAATTCTCCCACAAGACAGTTTAAACTAAAGGATGTCAATTTGCAAAGCCAGACCGCATTGTATTCTTAAATTGGGCCTGAAATAGCCACAAGATGAAGGGTAATAAGGCAGAGAGCAGAGCCCAGAGTGCCTGGTGCTGTGCAAAATTGTTTAATACGGTCAGACCCTTTAATCTTCATATCTATTGATGCAGAAAGCAGCATATTTCTGTCACTTACGATAAGAAACATTACTTTTTAAATTCCTTGGTGAGGCCAGCGGATCTTAGGCAGCCAAGATAGCAAGAATCTCTATTTTTGCATCTGTGAATATTTCTTTTTTCCCTTAAATTGGTTTTATTCTAATCCATTTAGTCTCCAATCTAAGTCAGAGACAAGTAACCCTGAAAGGAACCACACAGGAGAACAAAGACTCATGCCTCTCAGTTCTCAGATGGTACTGGCTACCACCTCCTTGAATAAGTCAGTGATTAAGCAAATAATGAACCTGAGAGTATTTACTATTATAGGAGAGGCAGTTAGTTCCAGAAAGTAATAGACTTGGAATAGCTTTTGAGAGATACAAAATCATGCTCAACAGTGGAAGGTGCAGTGAGGGGAAAAGGGGATGACACAAACTATTTTCATAAAAGAATCAAGCCTTTTACTCACATGTGTCCTAGAAAGTGGTTTGGTCAATGTGTCCAGGCTGGGTGGGGGTGATGCTAGGGAAAGGCAGGCCCCGAGGTCTGGATTGAGGAAACTGGATGATGTCTTCCCAAGATGGACAGGGCCACGAGTCAGGAATCGTCATTGAGAGAAGCCAAGGATGTAGCTGCAATGAAGAGAAGTAGATGTCAGTTTTGAAAGCAAACCAGTGAAGGAGAAAGGAGGATGAAGTACACAGTTGTCCCAGTGGATTTTGGAATGAGTGGATCAGGATGCGGCACCATTCTGAAGTGTTTGTGATGCAGGTGGGCCTGGGGCACAGAGATCACGGGAATTGTGTCGGGCTGAACAGAAAAGAATTTGTCTGTGCCTCTGTACCTGACATTGTGCAGGGCAATGTGGAAGGTGCAAACTATGCATAAAACATTCATCAATCTTTAGTTTAAGAATTCGGACTAGGTTATACATACTGAGGCTAAAATTCAAAAGGTACAAATTACACATTTTTCACTTCAGTGAGTCTATCTATAGGATAAATACCTAGAAGTAGAATTATTGGGTAAAAGGAACATCTTTTAAATTTTTATAGATACTGTCAAATTACCATCACCAAAGGCTGGACAATTTCACACTCTCTTCAGCAATATATGAAAGGATAACTTTCCCATGTGCTCACCGACACAACCAATCACAATCCTTTATTTGGAGAGACATGAGATACAAGGCATGGTAATGACAAATCATAATGCTAATATTTAATGAATGATCAAGCATTTTAAGTACAGTTTTTAGTCTCTGTATGTATTAATCTATTTATTCCTAGCAGCAACCTACCGATGTAGGGACTCATTGTCACCATTAAACAGATAATGAAATAGAAGCAGAGAATTTAAGAATCTTGTTCATGGCCACAGGTATGAAGGGCAGATCTGGGATTCTAACCCTGGACCTGACAGTTCTTCAAAGTCCAAACTCTTAACCGTTTGCTCTTATTCCAGGAGCTGGAAAGTTATCTGCAGTATGTATTATAGTGAGTACACACCAATAGGAAACCTGAGGCAGGGGTGCATGTGTAGGAAATCAGAGAGACCAGGTCTTTCCATTTTAATGGAAGTAGACACAGGCAATTAACTGGGAAAATGTTGGGCTACAGTGATTGATAAGCAGCATTCTAAGAACACATTGACACATTTTTTTTTCTTACCTTTTACTGTAAACATTATTCTGTAAATGTTTATGATGAATTAGAATGGTTAGAGCTACAAAAATGAATGTGTGGTATGATCTGATGAACATGGCACTTCAAGTAACATAGACTGGGTTCAGCTCCAAGTTCTGCCCCTCTTTAGCTGGCTGACCTTAAGCAAGTTATATAACTTTCTGAACATCATTTTTTCAAATGGAAAAAATGAGCCTAGAACCCCAGGAAAAATGTTTACAACAATTAATAAATATCATTAGCCGTAAAGAATTCCTACCTATCTGCTTGACCTTATTTCCCCTGCTTGTCTTCACAGACCCTCTGCTTTCATCAAATTAGTATAATGTACTTTTCTTAAACATGATGGAATTTTCCAGCTCACTTGCATTTCTGCATTTCACTCTCTCTTGCTGAAATTCTCCCCCAAGTCTTATCTGTAGGAATTCTACTATTAAGCCAGCTAGGTAGGTCAGCATCAGATGTTATCAACTATACAAAGTGTTCCTTGACCAAAGCCCTCTGCAGTAAACTACCCCTCAGTGGTTTGAATTTCTAAGTACTATTGAATTCCTAAGTATTATTGGACTGTACTACTTTTACAGCATAATGCCTTATAATACCAGTAGTTAATAAATGTTTAGTGCAGACCAGATACTGTTCTAAGCACTTAATATATTTTCTACCTCAGTTAATCCCCTCCACTAGTGATAGGTACTGTTATTACCCCCACTTAGATATAGTCATGGATGTCAACCACTATTTGCAGGTCTTTTCTGCACAGCTGGACCAAAGGCTTGAAAGGGCAAGGAGGCTGTGAGCATAACATTTAAATGTGTAGGCTTTGAAATCAAAGAACCTGTGTTCCAGTCTTGGTCCTAATCCTACAGCTGTGTGATATTTGGCAAGTGATACAATATCTTCAGCCATCAATTTTAATTTGGAGAAGAGAGTGTTGATAATACCTACTTTGACGAGTCATTATAAGGCTTAATTGGGTTTGCAGGTATAAAAAATTGAAACAAGGAGTGGCAAATGGTATTGAAATGTTGGTTTACATCGTTATTTAAATACTACAGGTTTCCCAACAAAGACCTTGCTTCACAATGTTGCATCCCTATTCCCTCTGCCTGTACCACCCTTTGCCACCTTCACCCATAGTTTCACTGCCAGCGTGAAGATCTTAAGGCCTAGGTCTCCATCTCCAGAATCTAGCTCCAGCATCTCCTGCACCCTCTCCAGGGAGACCTCTGGCTATTTCCCCCTCTATTATTTTATGGCCAGTTTTCTTGTAGCACTCATCTCACTGGGCTGCAATTCCTTGTTACAATTCCCACTCAGATCCCTGAGGATGGGGACAATGTCTTAATTATGTTTAATCCCTACTACATTAGCACACTGCTAGCATAAGTTGGGTGTTCACAATGCATCTATTAAGTGAATAAGTACCTTAATGATAAGAAAGAGTTACCAAATCTTAGCTTACTACTATGTATTACTTACTACACGGAAAAGTCCTTCAGTCTTCCAATCAAAACTTAGAAAAGAAACTCTACTAAAACTAAGTGTTTTAGTAAAATAGAGCAGAGGGTTCTGTCAGGGACTCATGGCCTTCCTATCAGCCACATATGCACTCTCCACACTGCCACGCTATTGACGTTCTAGTGACAGACACTGCGAAATGATAGCATCAGCAGCAGTTCATAAACTCAAGACACTAACAGACACACCGGCTGCTCAGATATAAGCAGAACATTATGGAAGGAAAATAATAATTAACTCATAAGGAGAGGGGCAAGTAAACATTCTATTAGAAGGGGAAAAAATCTCAAATGAATATAATCTCCTTCCATTATGTTATGAGCATTAAAATTAATGGTATTGGTTTTTCTGTGGTTTGGATAGTCATTGTATTTAACAAGCCGAAGTTAACTTCACAAGGAAAAAGGAAATAAATTAAATGTGCTGGTGTCTCAGGAAACTTCATTTTCTGAGTGAATAGCCAAGTTGATGCTCATCACTAGAATGGCTGACAATCAGTTTTCCATACTGGTATGTTCTAAATGGGAAAGGAAGCCAACTCTTCATTTAAATTATATTGCAAATCACTTCGTGCCTGCTGAATGGCATTCAGCTGCAGTAGGCGGCTTTCACTGTGGAGCCCCAAAATATGACACTGGCTGATTAATGCTAATTTGAAATGTTTTCTTTGGGGACTGCAGTGGGTACACTATCTAGGTGCATGTGAGGCTGAGGAAATTTTATGGTGGGTGACGGATTCAAAGGCCAAGAGCATATTCGCCATCAGATAAAAATGCACATTCACAAACATACCAAGACAAGTCAATTATTCCCTGATTCACTATTCCATGGGTCCCTTTGTGTAAAGAAACTATTTATACTCCCCATCAGATGGATACACAGAATCATAGTAAACAAGCCCCTGATTCCACTATTCTGTATTATATTTCCCAGGGCACCTTCCTTTGTGGAAGTCATTAGTTTTGGTCTTTTTGTTCTCGATTTATCAAAACAGACATTTTGCTAACTGAGCTCAATTTTTGTCCCAAGCACAGAACAGTTAACAGACACAATTTTGACCAAGTGAAAAAAAAGAAACAAAATGTGCAAACGTGCTTTGTCATCTTTTGATGTAGGTGACTGGGTATTTGTATTTATTTACCTTGATAATTGGTATGTGGATAAATACTAAAATCTGGATTCACAAGTTCATAATTCTTTTCCCTTCTCCCAGCTTAATAGTTTAAAGAAGCAAAACAATTCATCCTTGTCTTTTAATTACTCCCAATACAACACACTCAAGTCAGATCATTCAAAAATTAGGAAATTAATCAGAACAAACATCTGAAAAAATTAGCCTGAGCCATCATATTTCACTTGTTAAATCAGCAATACTCTTTAAAAAAGAAATAATACTCAGCGTGACTCTACTTTCCTGGGGGAAGCCATGCTCCTGGGTGCCTTCTTGTGCGGAGCATGCTCCCTGTACCGTTGTCGTTGATAAGGAGTAACATCGGGAGTGTTTGAGCTCAGGAGGTCTAGTAACTGTTCTCTTCTTTTTACAAGCCTGAATTTCCTCCTTGCAGGGCTGTTGTGAGGGTTTGAGGTAAACTAAATAATTTGCAGTGTCGTGCCTGTCATAAAGTAGATACCCCATAAATGAGAGCTATTATTACAATGTCTTTAAAACAGAAAGCCTTTCTTCATTTACCAGTGTTTTCCTACCATACTACCACGATAATCAGTGAGTAGCACTTGGGATACTGGTTATCAGTAGATCTACTGGGCTAATTTATTTATACATAAATAGCCAGTATTCCAGAAGGCCACATTTTGTTACATGTTTAAGTCAATGTTGCTGAAAGCTAATTTCCATGTGGGTCTCTGACCTTTAAAATTCCTGAGTGCCCTGCTCTCAAGTGACAGGATCTTTTTTGTACCTGACACTGATTTGCAAAATTAGATGTCTGCAGGGCTAAAACATAATTTTTATGAACAAGACAACAGTGTAACAAGGTGGGGAATATCTCATTAAACTTGACTACAGCAAAGTCTCGGTGGCCATCAAGTGATGGCCACCCTCTGCTGTCACAGACTGTGAAGCAACTCAGGTCCTCTAGGCAGGGGAGCCCTGGACAGGCGTCTGTGAGAAGGTTCCAAAGCCACAGTAGGTACATGAGGTGCTCTGCACATAGAGTGAAGCAAAGTCTTCAGGTAGCTGAAACCAACTCAATAATATCAAAATAATGATACTTATGACAAAACCCCCAGTTGTAAAAAATTACATTTGATTATTCAATTTAAAAAGTTAGCAGAGTTTAAATTCATTTTAAAAACAAAGGTCTTCAGACTGACAGGGTCCATGGAGGACTCTCAGGAAAAAAATGATGAATGATTTGGAAAGCAAGTGTCAGTGGCTTTGCCCACTCCTTTCTTCTTTAACTGAA